CCCCCCCCCCCCCCCCCCGAGAGCTTCCCTTGTCTCAGGTGCATAAACCCCATGGGGGTGAATGGAACCACTGGCTTTTTGCTCTCAGTGCTGATTACCCTTTTTTCTCCTTGTCCTGATGCTGTTTGGAGTGCTGGGATCCCCCCAAAAGGGGCCCATCAGGATGGGCACCCAGTGCACCAGTTCAAGACAGACGATGGGTGCCGCCTGTGGAGCTGGTGGAGGAAACAGATGTCTGTCACCCTGTGCCTGTGTCTGTTGAACGCTCTCTTTGTTTTCTGGTCTCCTTTTAGGAAGGATACAGTTTTATTCTATCCCTATCCTTAAAAGGAAGTGGAAGAGGTGTGAGGAAAAACAGAAGCGTGTTAGGTTCCCTCTGAGGACTGCTGTTCCCCATCCCAGTCACACCCTTGAACGTCTTCGTGTGTCGTGTGCAGTGTGATGGTCACTCGTGGCCACTGGAGGTGTGCCTTGTTCTGTCCTTGGCTTGCTTGGGTTGTCTGAGGTTTCTTGCTGCTTTTGTTTAATTGGAGAAGATGCCTAAGGTTGGCAGAGGGAAGATGAGGCCATGCTCAGACCACATGCGGTGATACCGGTCAGCATGTCACAGTGAGGCCATGCTCAGACCACATGCGGTGATACCAGTCAGTATGTCACAGTGAGGCCATGCTCAGACCACATACGGTGATACCGGTCAGCATGTCACAGTGAGGCCATGCTCAGAACTCATGCAGTGATACCGGTCAGCATGTCACAGTGAGGCCATGCTCAGACCACATGCGGTGATACCAGTCAGTATTTCACAGGTGTCCGCTCTTGGGTGTTTACTTTATCTTTGTTCTTTTTCACTCTGTGGTTAATGAAATTCTACAGTGGCTGTTGATAATGAACAAATGATGAAAGTGGCAGTGTCATAATGTGGGAGATTTCTGATTGTTCTGAATTGTCTTTTTTGACTGTAGGTAATTGGTACGCCTCAGAGACCTGCAGCGTCAAACACTATCGTGGTAGGAAGCCCACACACCCCCAACACTCACTTTGTCTCTCAGAACCAGCCTTCCGACTCCTCACCTTGGTCTGCCGGGTGAGCACTGCCCCTCCAGCCCTCAGAGTCGCAGAATTGTTAGAATTGTCACCCCCAGCTCTCCTGCAGCCACGTGTATTACATGATCATGCTATCAGGCTCCCATGTGCATTGATTTCAGAGCTCTTAATTAAATCCATGTAACTGGATTGGAAAACGTCCCATCGTGCCCAGCACAGACCACACTGTCTCTCAGTAGTGGAGAAGTCGGCTGTGGGCGGCCGCCGCCCCTCTTAGTGTCTGGTGTGATATTGGTAGCTCTCGGCCAAGAAGAGGAGGAAGGTGGTCTCATCCATGCCACAGTAACTGTGAAACTTTTCATTGTCTGCACTGGGTGTAAATGGGATGGATTTCACCCACTGTCACTGAATTTCACCTAAATGCACCCTGGGTTACGGCCCCACCGGACGGTCCCAGCACAGCTGCCACTTCCACTAAAGCAAAGTCTGATGTGGAAACAGTTTTACTCCAAGTCAGCTGTGTGTTTTTCCTTCAGAACAAACAGATAAACACAAAGCTGTAAAACCAAGTCTGTATTCGTTCTAAAGCAGAAATTATCAGTCTCCAAAACTTAGCCAGTTAGAAACTTAGAGTGACCTTTTTCCTTGATGTGGTGACTTTAAGTTTACAAATCTGGATTTTCCCTCATGGTCTGAGGCACCTGCTATCATGTGAGCGTTTGCCTTATGTAAATTACAGCCTGCTGAAATTTGCCCTAAAATTCTTACACTAACACGCCTTGTAATTCCTGATGCTGGTTGACGTCTTTGGAACAGTGGTGCTGAGTGTATTGATATGTATCATTTATATACTGATTCCCGTCCTTCTGGATGTTTGCCCCATTTTTCTTGACATTTGAAGACACAGATGCATGATCTGGCCTCATAAGTGTTCATCTTCTGACCTTAAAAACACTGGACACCTGTCAATGTCTGAGATGGAACCTTTTTCCTGTGACATGGGTGGTGGGAAATCCTGGCTTGCTCATGTGATATCTGTTGCACCCGTGGGACTTGGGCCCTTTTTGTGTAGCTCGTTAGGTCTTTTAGGTAAAAGTGTGTCTTGATTCAAAGCTGGCTCTCAGGAATGCTAGTGGCCATTTACCTTTTCCTTTGTGTTTTTGAAGGAAACGCAACAGGAAAGGAGAGAAGAACGGCAAAGGCCTGCGGCATTTCTCCATGAAGGTGTGCGAGAAGGTGCAGAGGAAAGGGACCACGTCCTACAACGAAGTGGCAGACGAGCTGGTCGCGGAGTTCAGTGCTGCCGATAACCACATTCTACCAAATGAATCAGTGAGTGTGTGCCAGGTGGGGCATGTGACTGGCCAGGGGTAGCAGAACTCAATGGCATGGCATAGCTCATCTTGTAAAATTGGAAGCAATTGCAGACATACAGAGCACACCAAGTACAGCATAAAAGAGCTCTTGGTGGCCTGCTTGCGGTGTGTTGCTGGCACAGTGTTTGTTCCATTGTCCCCCAGTGTGTTAGCGCTTGGGTCCTGGCCCTGTGTGTGCCTCCCTGCAGAAACACCCCTGTCCCCTGTTGGGCTCTACCACCCAAGGCCCCCCTCAGCTCCTCCCACACAGAGGCAAGGTCTGTCCAGCTGTATCTTGTCCCATAGATGATGTGGTTTCATGAGGACATGTTGATGCTGTTCCAGCAGATGAATTCGCTGTGTGCTTCCTCGAGCACGGGGACATGGCCTAAACTGTTAGATGTTCACCTACACTCTTTGGTTCATTTGAAACACTGACACTCTGTGTCCCCAGGCTTACGACCAGAAGAACATAAGGCGGCGAGTGTACGATGCCTTAAACGTGCTGATGGCCATGAACATCATCTCCAAGGAGAAGAAGGAAATCAAGTGGATTGGTCTGCCCACCAACTCGGCTCAGGAATGTCAGAATTTAGAGGTGCACCTTTAACTTATTTTCTTTTGTGTCGAAGAGCAGTTCTGCCCAAAGCACCCGTTTTTGTCATCATTGGTCACTTAAAGGGTCTTTGGCCACATGCCCTTGTGCCCTCTGTGCCCGGCATGGGCCTGGCGGGCAGATGGCAGACATCATGCCCTTCTCAGCCTCTGTGGTGAGGACGTTTCCCATCTGCATCGATGCAATTTGCTTCCCATCTTAGCTGGGCTCCACAGATGCTCGTCTGTGGGAGGTGGGAGAGTGGTGGGCCCAGACCAAGTGTGTTAAACTATAATGCACGTTAATTTTGAGTCAAGTTTGTGGGATCTTTTTTTTTTTTTTTTTTAAATACCATAGCCGATCCAACAAATGAGAGGAGAAGGGAGAGGTGTAGTTTTGAAATCACAGAGAAATGCCTGTGTCCTGTAGCACATGCTGTATTCTGGGTTAAATTCCAGGTTTTTGGCACAGACATACTTAGGTGCCAAGTAGTGTGGATGTGGGTTTTTAAATATGCTGTGTGGAACAACTGTGATGGTTTCTTGCATCAGTGGTTTGTTTTTGAAGGTGGAGAGACAGAGAAGACTTGAAAGAATAAAGCAGAAACAGTCTCAACTTCAAGAACTTATTCTACAGGTAACAGGATACTTACCATCGGAGGCAGGGTAATTGTTATTCTACTAATTTAGTCCTTCAACAGCAATGTCTCGCAGTAGGTTATACTTCTGCACGGTAAATAAAATCCCTACTTTGAGATTCTGAGTGTGAGAGCTCATGTCACATAGGAGTTGTCAGCGACATGGGCCTTGTTCCCAGAGAGTTTGTGTGTGTGCAAGAGCCTGTGTCCTGTGGCACAAAGTGTCTAAATAGCAGGAGAGATGGCTGCACACAGAAGTAGCACTTAATGTCATTCCTTCAGAGAAGTGTTAAGCATGCGCTGAGCATCGGGTACTGGGCCAATGTTTGGGTGTGTAGTGAGCTCGGTGTGTGTGGGTCTTGACAACTCCTGGTCAGTGGCTGGTGCAGGCGAGTGGGCTCTGTGTGTGACATTAGCTGCACGGCGTGGCTGGTCCCCTGACTGAGGGGTGCTAGAATCTCTCAGGAGGGGATGGTGCTGAGCCTGTGGAGATAGGGTGCAGGGGTCCTGGTTGTAGGAGTGTGTGGCCATGGCCTGAGAGGATTGTGGAGGGCAAAAGGCAGCTGCTTGAGCTGTAGCCTCTGCACACAGGGTAGGAGTGGGAGGCACTGAGAGGGGTTCTGACTTCAGGAGGGGCCAGAGGGCCAGGTTCTGGTGCGGTGCCCACCCCTGAGGATGTCGGCTGCACGGGAAGGCCTCGCCTACCTACTCAAACCCTGATGGACTTGCTGAGCAGAGGCATCCAGGAACCGGTGTCCCGGAGTGCTCAGGCCCCTCCCTATGGGATCAGCCCAGGACTGCTTGGGCAGTGCTGTAGGCACCAAGAAACATCTGAAAAACCCACAGTTCTGGTGCTGACTTACACCCTACCCTGGGTGGTGGCACATATCCTGGACTCACAGTTTCTTCCATGCAGTTGCCCCTGTTGGAATGAGTTGTTCACTCTCTGTGTTCATAGCATGTTGTAGCTGCTTTTTAAATGTGAGGTTGCTGCTCCCCTTCGCCTGAGACAGGACCTCGGCAGCCCAGCACCTGCCACTGTGGGAATGGCTCGGCGAGGCAGGGAGGGAAAGGGAATTGTCTGGTTTTAAGTTAACAGCAAGGAAGTTATCTTCATGGGGAAATATTCATTTCAGTGCACTGAACGCTGGGTTTAGCCTCGTAGAACCCACTCCCTCACAGGAGAAATCCCTTCCCAGCACAGGGACTGTTTGGTGTTTTCACTTTTCTGGAGGCTCAGGTCTAAGACCTTCAAAGGCCATCACCCTGTAGGTAGGACTAGTGCAGGTGATCTCCAACAGGAAGCAAAGGATGGCAAGGAATTCAACTTCTGCAGTCAGTGTTTTTCTCTTAATTCCTTTGTCGGAGGCCGTTTCTGTCTGAACGATATGAATGCTCTGCATCTGCTCGTCCTCAGTCCTCTGAGCACATGGTTTCCCGAGTGCGGTTCTTCCCAGGCCTCAGAGGTCTGTGCTGGCTGTTGGTGCCGGTCCCTTTCTGTCTGGCTGGCATGGAGGGTTGTGGAGAACTCCACGGAGAAAAGGGATCATGCTCTGGTGGGACTGCGTTGCCAGTGTCAACGGCTCCTCTTTTTTTTTAGCAAATTGCCTTTAAGAACCTGGTGCAGAGAAACCGCCAGGCAGAACATCAGGCTAGCCGGCCGCCCCCGCCCAACTCTGTCATCCACCTGCCTTTCATCATTGTCAATACCAGCAAGAAGACTGTCATCGACTGCAGCATTTCTAATGACAAGTAGGTTGAAGATGGGAAAGGATTTCCCTGAGTAGGCATCTCTCTTTAAGGAAGATAAAACTCACTAGAACAAGTTTTGAAATTTTGCACAAACAGCCAGTGTTTGCTGTCTGCCCTGTGATGGAGCCAGGCGGCCACTGAGCTGTGGGTGCAGTGCTGTGTGTACTGGGCATGTTGTTTTGTAGGACAGGTCCTGCCTCTAGGGTGTGGACAGTGATGTACAGTGTTACCTGGACCTCTTGTGTCGTTTATTTCTAAGCTTGTAAATTCTGTAAAGAGCCACTGATGACAGGGAGCCTGGGGGAGGTCAGGCATGATTAGGGGCAGTGGGTCAGTCCTGCCCTGAGCCCTAAGCCAGCATGTGCTCTGTCCATCTGGAAGACCCTCTTTCTAATCGTACCTTTCCCCTTCAGATTTGAGTATCTGTTTAATTTTGACAACACGTTTGAAATCCATGATGACATAGAAGTGCTAAAGCGGATGGGGATGGCTTGTGGGCTGGAATCAGGGAGCTGCTCTGCCGAAGACCTTAAAATGGCAAGAAGTTTGGTACCAAAAGCTCTGGAACCATATGTGACAGGTCAGTCTTCCTGAGGACCGTGGTGTGGCTGTGTTGCCAGGGTGAGGGATGTCTCTCCCAGCTCTTGGGTGTGTGTTTTTCTGAACTCAGGCTCCAGCACACAGGACCAGGAACAAAGACAAAAGGAGCCATGGGAGGGATGAGGGAGCCACAGGGCAGGGGCTAGATAGGGTCTTTCAGGATTTCATCTTCCAGGCAGGGCCAAAAATAGAAAAATTGAAATTCTTTGAGGAGTACACTGGGCTTGACGGTGTCTTTGCTTTAAGGCCATTGACTCTTCTCTATAACAAAGTAACCAAGTAAAAACATTTCAAAATGATTGATCTTGTTCTTCTATAAATCACAGCATGAAAGGGGAGGTGTTTCTTTTATGAGCTGTCATTCTCTTCTGTGGCTTTTGCATATTGAGTCCTTTCCTGAGTCTTGGACTGCAAATGTGAAGAATAGCTGTGTAGAGAGAAATTGTAAGAGATGCTGTCCCTGCTGGTCCTTCTCCTGCTATCCTAGACTATGGTGTGGATATATTCCCCGAGAGGGTCAGAGATTCCTCCCTGTGTACGTTCCTGGAGCAAGTGAACATCTGGCCTCTGTCATTGGGGGAAAATGGGCTCCTGACCCATTTTTCAGCCTCCAGCAGCTCATGCTGCCTGGACACCTGACTTAAGTCCTTGCCTTTTGTCCAGTGCTCAGTGGAGTCCCTAAGATGGGGAGTAGTAAGAAGAGCCATTGTTGTGAATGTATGTTTTTACCTCATTCTGTTGCCCATTTCCTGTATTATAATGAATATGATATTGATGTAGTAGCTTAGGTATGTCATTCGTAAGTTAATATACTTATGTGCACTGAGGATTGTCACATCTTTTTAGAAAAGACTGGCTTCAGTGGCACTTACTCCAATGTAGAATAAGGGCTAACATCCACCTGGAGGCTACACTTCTGTGTCTATCTGGAACCAATACTAAAACACCCTATTCAACCATCAGTGTAAAATATGTCTACAGAAGGGAGTCTCTTTTCTCAAAACCTACTCCAGAGTAATAGAAGAAGCACCTGCTCGACAAGATGACCAGACAGCAATGTAGATACCAGAGATACCAAAAAAAACAAAAAAACAAAATATGACACCACCATAGGAATATGATAATTCTCAAATACCAGACCTGATAGAGCAGGAAACCCTTGAATTGACTGAAAAGGAATTCTGAGCAACAATCTTAAGGAAACTCAATGAGATATAAGAAGACTCAGGTGACACAATGAAATGAGAAAAACAATTCATGATATTAATGAAGAAATTTACAAGGAGATAGATACCTTAAAAAGGGATGTAGCAGAACTCCTGGAACTGAAAGATTCATTCAACAAAATAAAAAACACAACTGAGAGCTTAAGCAGCAGGCTAGAGTGAGCAGAAGAAAAAAATTATGATCTCAAAGACAGTCTTATTGAAATAACCTAGGTGGACAAAAAAGAAAAAAGAACAAAATAATGAGGAAAATCTGTGAGAGCTATCAGATAACCGTAAGTGCACAAACATCTGAATCACGGGTGTTCTGGAAGGGGAAGAGAAAGGAAAAGGCATTGAAAACCTATTCAACAAAATAATAGCAGAAAATTTGCCAGGTATTGGGAGAGATGTGGACCTTAGGATCCAGGAGGCTCAAAGGCCCCCAAACAGATTTAATTCAAAAAGTTCTTTCTGAGACACATTATAGTCAAACTGGCAAAATTCAAAGGCAGAGAATCCTAAAAACAGCAAGAGAAAAGCATCAAGTCACCTATCAGGGAGTCTCCATTAGAATAACAGCAGACTTCTCATAGGCCAGAAGAGAATATGCTGATACATTTAAAAATACTAAAAGAAGAAAACTGCCATCCAAGAATACTATACCCAGCAAGGCCATCCTTCAGAAACGAAGGAGAAATAGTGTATTTCCCAGAGGAACAAATACTGTGGGAGTTCACCACCACATGACCAGCCCTACAAGAAATACTCAAGGGAATCCTGCATCTGGAATCCAACAAAACGATAATCACTACCATGAATACTAAAGAAAGAATGAAAACCACTGGTGGAACGAATATGCAAATGAGAGAAAGAAACTGTATCTTACCACCTCAAAAAAACAATGAATACCAAAGACAAAAAGGAAAGAAAGGAACAAAAGATATTTAAAATGTAAATTGATAGAATACCAGGAGTAAGTACATTTCAATAACAACCATAAATGTAAATGGGTTAAATTCCCCACTCAAAAGACACAGACTAGCTGATTGGATTAAAAAGTTAGACCCAACTATATGCTTTCTGCAGGAGACTCACCTCACCTGTAAAGACACACACAGACTAATATTGAAGGGGTGGAAAAAGATATACCATGCAAATTGAAACCAAAAATAAGCTGGAGTAGCTATTTTTATTGGATAAAATAGACTTTAAAAACCATAAAAAGAGACAAAGAAGGCCATTATATAATGATGAGGGATCTGTCTATTAGGGAGACATAACAATCATGAATATATATACACACTCAACACAGGAGCACCCAGATATATAAAGCAAATGCTACTAGACCAGAGTCCCCACTACAAAATAGGGGTCCTCAACACCTGTCTCTCAACTTTTTACAGGTAGATCATCTAGGCAACAATCAATAGAGAAACACGGGATTTAAATTACACATTAGGCCAATTGGATCTGGTAGATATCTCCAGAACATTTCATCTAACAGCTGCAGAATATACTTCCTTCTCTGCAGCACATGGAACATTGTCCAGGATAGAACACATATTAGGACAAAAATCAAGTCTCAACAAATTTAAAAAAACTGAAGTCATTTCAAGTATCTTTTCAGACCACAGTGGGTTAAAACTAGAAATCAATAACAAGTGAAACTCTGGAAACTACAGATATATGGAAATTAAGCAGCATGCTCCTGAATGACCTAGAGGCCAAGAGGAAATTAAACAGGAAATCAAAAAATTTCTTAAAACTAATGAAAGTAAAGACACATCATACCAAAACCTGTGCAATACTACAAAAAGTGTACTAAGAGGGAATTTCATTGCAATAAATGCTTGCATCAAAAGAATAGAAGGTTTTAAAATAAACAACTTGATACTACACCTCAAAAAACTAGAAAAACCAGAACAATCCAATCGCAAAATTAGTAGAAAGAAATAATTAAGATCAGAGCAGAACTAAATGAAACAGAGAGCTGAAAAGTGATACAAATGATCAAAAGGTGGGTTTTTGAGAAGACAAACCATTGGCTAGGCTAACTAAAAAATGAAAAGAGAAGACCCAAATAACAAAAATCAGAAATGAAAAGGAGACATTACAACCAACACCACAGAAATACAGGGAATCATTAGAGACTAATATAAACAACCATATGCCAACAAATCTGAAAACCTGGAGGAAATGGATCTCTACACATGAACAGTAACAAGCAATGAGATTGAAACAGTAATCAGCAGTCTCTCAACAAAGAAAAGCCCAGGGGCAGATGGCTTTACTGCTGAATTCTACCAAACCTATAAAGAGGAATTAATACCAACTCTCTTCAAACTATTCCAAAAAGGAAATGGGGACCATTCTCCTGAACTCATTCTGTGAGTCAAGCATCACCCTGATACCAAAACCAGTCAAAGATACAACAAAAAAAGAAAACTACAGGCCAATATCTTTGATGAACATAAACGCAAAAATCCTCACCAAAATATTAGCAAATGAATAAAGCAGCACATCAAAAAAATTATACACTGTGATCAAGTGGGATTCATCCCAGGAATGCAAGGATGGTTCAACATACACAAGTTAATAAATGTGATTCACCACATTAACAAAATCAAGTCCAGAAACTTTATGACTCTCTCAATAGATACAGAAAAAAATTTGATAAAATTCAACATCCCTTCATGACAGAGACTCTCAACAAATTAGGTATAGAAGGAAAATATATCAACACGATAAAAGCCATATATGACAGACCCACTACTAACATCATCCCGAATGGGGAAAGGGACAGGAACACGATTCTCACCACTCCTATTTAACATAGTACTGGAAATACTACTTGGGGTAATCAGGCAAGAGAAAGAAATAAAGGGCATCCAGATTGGAAAAGATGAAGTAAAACTGTTCCTGTTTTCAAATGACATGATCCTATATGTAGAAAAACCCAAAGCCTCTACAAAACGATTTCAGTAAAGTTACAGGATACAAAATCAACACGCAAAAATCAGCATTTTAATACTGCAACAGTGAACTAGCAGAAAAGCAAGCAAGGAAGTAAGCCCATTTATAATAGTCATCAAAAAAATAAAATACCTAGGAATCAATTTAACTGAGGAAGTGAGAGATCTCTACAATGAGAACTATAAATCACTGCTGAAAGAAATTAAAGAGGATACAGAAAGATGGAAAGACATTCCATGATCTTGGATTGGAAGAATTAACATTGTGAAAATGTCCATACTACCCAATGCAGTCCCCATCAAAATACCAATAGCAAAACAATCCTAACATTCATATAGTACAGCAAACGTCCCAAAACAACCAAGCAATCCTGAGCAAAGAGTAAAGCAGGACGCACAGCACTACCTGACTTCAAATTATACTACAAAACTATAGTAACCAAAACAGCATTATACTGTCATGAAAACACACTCAGACCCATGGAACCGAATAGAGAACCCAGAAATAAACCCATGTACTTATAGCCAACTGATCTTCAACAAAGGCACCAAGAACATACATTGGGGAAAAGACTGCATCTTCAATATATGGTGCTGGGAAAACTGGACCTCCACATGTCAAAGAATGAAACTAGATCTGTACCCCAATTGAATAATGCCAAACGTAAAACCTTCTACTGCATTTAAAATTCTGAAATATGGAGACAATCTTATTTTATTCCAAGCTGCCGTGAACTATAAAGAACTACAAATATTTCTACTAAAAGAAATGAGTCAAATTATAAGCTACATTTCTTTTTGTCTTTTTTTCGTGACCGGTAACGGGATCGCAACCCTCGGTGTCACACCCGTACCGTGACCAGCAATGGGATCGCAACCCTCGGTGTCGCGCCCGCACCGCGCTCAACCAGTGAGCGGACCGGTCTCTATATGGGATCCGAACCCTCGGCGGGAGCGCCGCCGCGCTCCCAAGCGCCGCACTCTACCGAGTGCGCCACCGGGCCGGCCCTAGATCTGTACCTCTTGGCATAAACCAAAATCAAATCAAGATGGATTAAAGACTTAAATATAAGACCTGAAACTATAAAACTACTAGAAGAAAACACGGGAACACTTCAGGATGTAGGACTGGGCAAAGACTTTATAAATAAGACCCCCAAAACACAGGTAACAAAGGTAAAAATAGGTGGGAGTGTATCAAACTAAAAAGCTGCGCAGCAAAAGAATTAAGAGATTGAAAAGACAATCTACAGAATGGGAGAAAATATTTGCAAAACGTGCATCTAAGAAGGGATTAATATCCAGAATATATGAGGAAATCAAACAGTTTAACAGTAAAAAAACAAGTAACCTGATTAAAAAATGGGGAAAAGAATAGAAGAGGCATCTCTCAAAGGAAGATATACAGGGCCCAAAAGACACATGAAAAAACACTGACCGTCACTGAGCATCAGCGAAATGCAAATCAAAACCACATCGAGATGTCATTTTATGCCAGTTAGACTGGCCATTATCAAAAAGACAGAGGATAACAAACGCTGGCAAAGATGCAGAGAAAGAGGACCCCCCTACACTGTGGGTGGGACTGTAAATTGGTGCAGCCATTATGGAAAACAGTACGGAGTTTCCTCCAACAATTATAGGTAAAACTGCTATACGATCTAGCAGTACCAGTGCTGGGTGTATATACCCAAGGATTGGAAATCACGTCAAATGGATATCTGCAGTAGCATGTTTATCACAGCTCTATTATACATAGCAACGTTGAACTTTCAAAAGGAGTGAACAGAACTGAGGCTACCAGAGGTAGGAAAGGGGGAGGGTGTTAGCGAGAACTTGGTCAAATGTCACAAAGAATGATTACATTGCATTATGATTTGATCACCACATTTCATACACAGGTATGGATATTCAACTCTGTACCTCACAAATATGTATAATCAATTATGTTTCAATTAAAAAAAAGAAGACTGGCCTGTGGCCACAAAAGTGAGGCCCTGCACTATAGCACAGGGCAGAACATGCCAGACAAGCCAGAGACACCCAGAAGTTCCCCTTTACTCAGTGCGCGTAACTTTATCTGCCCGTGCGTCTTGTAGTGTTTCTGTTTCATGACATTCACTTGATTTACTTTCTCTTTTCAGAAATGGCTCAGGGATCCATCGGTGGTGTGTTTGTCACGACAGCAGGTTCCACGTCCAACGGCACAAGGCTTTCTACCAGGTGACAGCAGCGGAGGGTGTGGGATATCTCTCCTGTGCCTCTCCTGGTATTTGGAGGTCCAGGCAGGGCCACCCTCTCCCCTAGCAGCCGGGGCAGCCCCCAGCATGTATATAGACCACCCATACCCCTGGGCCGTTGAGCATGACTTGTCTGCTCAAAAAATCAATGGTGCAGGGGGGAGCTGCTGTAGGTGTGGGGCTCTGCTGCAGGTGGAGGCCGCTATGGGGGTGAGACTACTGCAGGTTGGGGGCTGCACTGGGCTTGTCTTCGTGTGGGAAGAGGCTTCTTTTCTTGGTTTCTTCCTCCTACAAACTAAAAACAATACGTGGATTTTATTTTTTAAAAAGTTGCACACAGTAAACGGAGCAAAAACCACCCAAATTCTAGTACCCCGGGTAGCTCAAGTGATAACACGTATGTCTAGATTTTTTTCTATTTTTTAAACATATTTGAGATACATTCATCTAAATTTTGTTCCTTTTTTCCACTTTGTTTTATTGTATTTTTTCTGTTATTGAAGGAGCTTTATTATTTAAACAAATATGTATTTAACCTTTGATCTAGCAATCCCACAGAGCAGAATGATGTCCTAGGTATTTATCGTAGTGCTTTAATGATAAACAGAACCTTATAATAAATATTAATAAAACAATTTCATAAACTTATTGTTATACATTTTATGATATTTTATATTAATCTTAAATATTAATAAGATGTTAAAGTTAATGTAGGTCCAATAATTAGGGATTGCTTGGTAAATCACAGTGTGCTTGTGCCTGTGGTGGACTGTCCTGCAGCTGCAGATGTGGCAGACAGGCCCCAATGTGGGCGGGGGCTGTGAAGGCCTCCTCACCTGTAAGGGGGGACTTATACTGGTCGAACCATGGATTTGCTGTGGGGGACAGGGAGGTGATAGAGTAAGTGAGCCATGGACAGAGGTTGGCTCGCGCTCTCTTCTAATTTAAGTTTCTAGCTGTGCATGAATGTGTAGGGGTTGATCTATAAAATGTTAAACACTGGTTCTTCTGTTCGGTGGAAGTTGGGTATTTTTAAAACTTTTATCTTCATGTAGTTCTTTTTATCCATTAAACTTTTCAGATGCATCAGTTTAAGATGTTACTTTTCCAGAAGAAAAACCAATTTTAATAGTGGCACGATATGACGCATTACGAAAGCACATTATAAGGGACATTTAGGTGGTTCCCAGTTATAAGAAAAGCTGCAATGAGCAGCTTTATGGCTGTTTGTCATCTTCTCTGACTTGTTTTGCTAGGCTCTATCTCCCAGGTGCGGAATTACTCTTGTCAAAAAGTGCAACATCTGTTAGTTTTTATTGTATGGTACTAGTAAAAGGTATTAAAATATAAGCATATGGTTTTATGTTAATAGAAACATTTTTAATGTTAGAACACATTGTCACTTCTTGCCTGGGTTAGGTTTTTGAGGTTCTGCCAATCTTCTAGGGGTCTCAGTCTACATTGCCAAGTCAAAGCCACACTCTGCCAATTATGTCCTGCCCCAAACTCACTCTTTTTCCTAACCTGTTACCGGTGGTAAGGAAAGTCTTGGAAAGAAGGTTCTAGTGCTTTTCCAGTTTGTGCACTTTGAGATTTTGTTTCTGATGTAACAATAAATAAGGGGAAACAGTGAACCCTGTGTCCCCGCTGTATTCTGCATGTTTTAGTTGTGTGTCAAGACAGCAAGACAGCGCTGTCAGAATGTGATGGAGCCCTGTATTGTAGGTAGTCAACAGTCTTCCATTTCTGTCTCATCATGAGGGACATGCCCAGCGTGTCCTCCGGCTGAAGGCCCCTGGGTTGAGGCGAGGGAGGGGTGGGCACAGCGTCACTGACTGCATCTGGCGTCTTGTCTTGCAGTGACTTGACCAATGGTGCAGACGGGATGCTGGCCACCAGCTCCAATGGGTCTCAGTACAGCGGCTCCAGGGTGGAGACCCCCGTGTCCTACGTTGGGGAAGATGACGATGAGGATGACGACTTCAACGAGAATGATGAGGAGGACTGACTGTCTGCTGTAGACCCCTCTCCCCATTCAGATTCAGCTTCAGGAAAAAGTCGTTTAGGGAAGAGAAACTTTTTTTTAACGTGAGGTTTTCTGTTTCTTTTTGGCCTCCTCCCGAGGAGATATTGGTAAGCTATTGAATTTAGATATGCACCTCCGATAAGCAAGGATTGTCTTTCCTAGGATTTAAGACATGCTGTGGATGTGTGTTGGTACCAGTGTGCTGATGCAGAGCCTTTATTTCCTTTTTAGGATTCGTGTTTTCATTTTCTATTTTTTATTTTTAATTCAGAAGGGTGTTTTTTGCCCCTTAACAATTCTTGCTGAGTTTGCTGAAGAAGTTGTACTTCATCCACGTCAATGAAAATAAAACGCTATCCTGTTGTGGACAATGAACACCGAATGCCCTTTATTTTCAGTCTGTTTGAATGGCGCCACATGCTGGCAAATAACAAGACTCCGTGATGAGTTTTCCATCTGTTACATCTTGCAGTAGTGTCCAAAGAACCAAGCAAATAGCAAAGCTCCACTTTATGAACATTAAGCGCCATAAATTTAATATGACTTTAATTCCCCTTAAATTATATTGACTATTGTGATTCCATCAAGTCTATACACTTTCTCTATCTATTGCAGCAACAAATTGCGAAGTGCTTTTTTTGTTTGTTTTTGTTTTGTTCGGTAAAAGTTTACTGCCACGCTGGTGCAGCTATGGAAACTGAAAGGCTTGGAATGGTTTATTGCTTATGGTAAAATTTGCCTGATTTCTTACAGGCAGTGTTTGGAAACTTTTTATTATATAGTTGTTTACATACTTATAAGTCTATCATTTAAAGACATGTACTGAAACAAATGTATTTGTTTCGTAAACATCTTCCTGTAATCTATTATAAAGTTGAAATTAAATAGAGAGAATGTTTTAACAGTTTTTTAACTCAAAATTTGTCAATCATTTTTAATAGTTCTTTTTTTATAAAAAGAAAAAGGAATTTAAGGACAGGCAGTAGTCTCTTTTAAAATTTATTCACAAGAAACCATTAACTGCACAGTTGCTGTTAGCTGCCTGTTCTAAAACGATAGTCTTTTTATTGAAACACAAAGAAGCTTTTCTGTAATATTTTATGGACTATAAAGAGACTTTAATTGTTTGACTTGTTTAACTTGGCACTGTTAGTTTTTATTAATAAAACGCGCATGGGCATTTTAAACAAGTTCTGTGTTTCTGTAATTCAGGATTATTGTCTAGAAGTTATTCTATCTTGTTAGTCTTGTTTAACACCTGAGTGAAAAAGTAGGTTTTCAGGCCCAGGTGGTCCCTATAGGCAGGTAACCCTCCCCTGTCTGAAGTGGTCAGAGGCACCTCCTCCTGGAGCTCGCCCTGAAGACAGAGGAAACTCCAGCAAGGGAAGCCCTGGTGGACAACGTGCCAAGGGGCACCGTCCTTTCTGGTGCCTGTGGTGTACAGAAAGGCTGTTCCTTGACTTTTTCTTCAGTCTAAAAATTGATACAGATTTTATAGGTTTGACTTTAAGAAAAATAAGATCGTGAGAGGATTCCAATTAGATTCAAATGTCAGTTTTCAACAAAATGTCAAGGATACATACAAAGAAACAGGAAAGTATGGCCCATTTAATGGAAAAAAAAAAAAATCAATGGAAACCATCCCTGAAAAAGATCTGATGGCAGATACACTAGACAAATACTTTTAAATAACTGTGTTAAAGATGCTCAAAGGACTTAAAAGACAATGTAGCAAAAGTAAAGAAAATGATATATGAATAAAATGGAAATACTAATAAAGAGAGAAAACCTAAAAAAACAAAAAAATCAAGCTGAAAAGTATAGTAACTGAAATGAAACACTAGAGTGATTTAAAGGCAGAATTAGCAAACTTGAAGATAGGACGATGGAAACTTCAGTCTGAGGAACAACAACAACAAAAAAGATGAAAGAAAAGTGAGCATGGTGTAAGAAGGGCATGTGAGACTCCACCAAGCTGAGCTGCAACATACGCATGTGGGAGTCCAAGAAGGAGAAGACAGAAACAAAGGGGCAGAGAGAATATCTGAAGAAATAGACTGAAAAACTAAAAAGTTTGAAAGTCATTAGTTTAAACATCCAGGAAGCTCAAAGAACTCCAAGTAACGTGTACTCAGAGAGTCCCACACAAAAACATTATAACCAGACTTCTGAAAGAATCCTGAAAGCAGTAAGTGAGGTGGCACATCATATACAAGAGAGCCTCAATGAGATTATCCATGGATTTCTCATCTGAAACTTTGGGGGCCACAAGGCAGTGGGCCAGTGTATATTCAAAGTGCTGAAAGAAGAAAAAAAAAAAGACCACCAAGAATTCTGTATCCAGCAAAACTGTCTTTCAAAACTGTGGGAGAAATTAAGACATTTCCAGATAAACAAAAGCTGAGGGAGTTTGTTACCACTAGACTTTCTCTGCAAGAAGTGCTCAAGGGTAAGATAAGAGGACAGACACTGGACAGCAACTTGAAGCTGTATGAAGAGCTCAACAAAGGTAAATACACAGGCAGTTATACAAGCTAGTATTATTGTAAGAATAGTTTGTAACTCCACCTTTTGTGTTGTACATGAGTTAGGAGACTAATACATTTTTAAAAAAGCAATTATTAGTCTAAAAGCCAGTATTATTGTAACTGGTCTGTAACTCCACATTTGTTTTCTACATAATTTAAAAGACTAATGCATTTAAAAGGATAATTAATTTTTTAAACACACAGTAGATTAAGAGGTAATTTTGTGATACTAACATCCTAAAGGGGTGGGGACAGCTATAAAGGAGCAGTTTTTATGTGGTATTGAAGCTAAGCTGGTGTAAATTCAAATTAGAGTGTTATAATATATAATATTTATATTAAATGTACTCACAGTGGTAACCATATAGAAAATTGCTATAGAATATACACAAAAAGAAATGAGAAATGAATGTAAACATTCAGTATAAAAAACCGGCTAAACACAAAAGACAGTGAAGCAGGAACTGAGGGACAAAAAAAGCTATTGAAAAATAGCAAAATGATAGAAGTCCTTATTAGAAATTATGTTAAATAGAAGTGGATTAAATTCTCCAATCAAAAGGCAGATTGGCAGAATGGATAAAAACACAATCAACCTATATATTGTCTGTGTGTACTCACTTTAGATCCAAAGACAAATAGATTGGAAATAAAAGTATGGAAAACAATATTCCATGTCAGTAGTCACCAAAAGAGAGCGGGTATGGCTTTACCATGTATGACAAAATAGACTTTAAAGCAAAAAAGATTACAAGAGACAAAGAAGGACATTATATATTAATAAAAAGTTAAATACAGCAAGAACATAAATTATAAGCATATATGCACCTAGTGACAGACCATCAAGATATTAAGCAAAAATGAGCAGAATTGAAGCGAGAAATAGACAATTCTTTTATAATAATTGGAGATTTCAATATCCTACTTTCAATAATGGATAGAATAACCAGACAGATGGTAAGTTAGGAAACAGAAGATACAGTAAACTAACTGGATCTCACAGACATACAGAACACTACCCAACAACAGTGTATGCATTCTTCTCAAGTGCCTGTGGGACATTTTCCAGGATGCAAATTAAGTCTCAATGGATTTAAAAGGATAGTATCATATAAAGTATATTTGTGCTCCCAGTGAGATGAAGTTAGAAATTAGTAATAAGTAAACTGGAAAATTCACAAATCATGGAAATTAAACACACTGTTAATAATGAATTAAAAGAAATCACAAGGAAATTATAAAATACTTAGAGATAAATGAAACTGAAAGCACAACATACCAAAACTTACAGGATGCAGCAAAAGTAGAACTAAAGGAGGAATTTATAGCTATAAATGCTTATATTTAAAAAAAACAGATTTCAAATGAACAACAACCTAACTTTACAAGCTCTGGAACTAGAAAAGGGCCAAACTAAACCCAAAGCTAGCAGAAGCAAGGCAGTAAAGATTAGAACAGAGATAAATGAAATAGAGAATAGGAAAACAATAGAGAAAATCAATGAAACCAAAAGGCGTTTCCTTAAAAGATAACAAAACTGACAAACCTTTAGCCAGATATACTAAGAAAAAGTAAGATTCACATTACTAAAATCAGAAATGAAAATGGGGACATTCCTACCCATTCTAAAGAAACAAAAAGGATTATTAGAGAATACTTTGAACAACTGTACATCAATAAATTTGAAAGTGTAGATGAAATGGACAAATTCTTAGAAAAGTAAAGAATACCAAGAGTAAATCAGAAGAAATAAATCTTAACAGGCCTAAACTAGTAAGGAGATTGAATCAGTCCTAAAACCTCTCCCATCAAAGAAAAGCCCTGGACTTAACAGCTTCACCAGTCAATTCTGCCAAACATTTAAAGAATACTAACAAGTCCTTCTTAAGCCTTTTCAAAAAATCAGAGGAGAGAGCACATCTCAACTCACAGGAGGCCAGCATTACCATGATACTATAGCCAGACAAAGATACTACAAGTAAAGAAAAATGCAAACCAATATGCCTTATGAACATTGATGCAAAAATCCTCAACAAAATACTAGTGAACAGAACTTGGCAGCATATTTAAAGGATTATACACTATGACCATGACCAAAATAAATCTTTGAAATGCAAGGATGGTACAACATACGAAACTCAGTCAATGTAGTACACCACATGAACAGGATGAAGAACAAAAAATATATTATCATCTCAATTGATGTAGAAAAAGCATTTTACAAAATCCGACACCTTTTGTGGTAAAAAATACTCAGCAAACTAGAAATGGGAGGAAACTACACTGACTAAATTAAAACCATTAATGAAATACAGGAAACATCATACTCAATGGTAGAAGACTGAAAGGTTTTCATCTATGATCAGGATCAAGGCAAAGATGTCCCCTTTTGCCACTTGTATTCAACACAGAACTTAAAGTTCTAGCCAGGGCAATTAGGTGAAAAAAAAGTAAAGCAACCACATTTGAAAGGAAGAAATAAAACTCTGTACATGACATGATCTCGTATAGAAAATCCTAAGGAGTCCACTAAAAAACTATTACAGGTAATAAACAAGCTAAGCAAGGTTGCAGGATACAAAGTAAATATAGAAAAAATCAGTTGGGGCCAGCCCGTGGCTCACTTGGGAGAGTGTGGTGCTGATAACACCAAGGCCACGGGTTCGGATCCCTATATAGGGATGCCCAGTTAGCTCACTGGGAGAGCGTGGTGCTGACAACACAAAGTCAAGGGTTAAGATCCCCTTACCAGTCATCTTTTTTTTTTTTAAAAAAAGAAAAATCAGTTGCATTTCTACATGCTAAAAATGAAAAATCTGAGAAGGAAATTAAGAAAATAATTTCATTTACAACACATCTGTACACCCAGGCTTGTAGCAGCAGTATTCACAGAAGCTAAAACGTGGAAGCAATCGGATACTCACGTGTCCACTGACAGATGAGTGCATGAGCAGAACGTGCTGTAGCCGTACGGGAGGATGTCATTCAGCTTTAAAAAGGAAGGAAATGTGGCACACGCTACAGCACATGTGAACCTTGAGTGTACATTATGCTGAATGAAGGAAGCCAGTCACAGCCGGGTGAGTACTGTGTGGTTCCACTCATGCGGTCCCTCCCATAGTCAACTGCACAGAGATGGAAAATGACATTTGCCAGAGGCTGGGGAAGAGGGAGCAGAAGTTAGTGGTTAACAGGTGCAGAGGCTCTGTCTGGGGACATTGAAGAGCTAAGGAGCTGGAAGGTGGTGGCGGCTGCACGATCTCATGAATGTACTTAATACCACTGAACTATTTACTTAAAAACGGTTAATTGGAGTATGGTAAATTTTATGTTCTGTGTATTTTACCACAATAAAAAAATTGTGGACGAAAATGTAAGGTATAAAGGAGAGTTAAGTATTTTGAGTTGGCTAAATAAATCTGAATGTTTCTTTTTTTTTTTTTTTTTTTTGTCTTTTGTCTTTTTCCGTGTCCGGCAATGGATTGCAACCCTCAGTGTTGCCCCTGTACCGGACCGGGGACCGGCAACGGGACCGCAAATCTCGGCGTTGCTCCCGCGCCTCGCTCAGCCAATGAGCGGGAACCGGTTTGTATGTGGGATCCGAACCCTCGGGCGGGAGCGCCTCCGCGCTTCCCAAGCGGCGCACTTATCCAGTGCGCCAC